GGTTGATTGATTTTTTTTTACAAATGTAATTACTATTCATTTTTATGTCTAAATAATATCACATTGTACAAAATTTGTAATTTATAAATTGGAAGCCTGAATAAAATAGCAGAAAACCAGTTGATCTCATGTAGAATACTTAATTCTGAATCTGTCTCCGATCAGAACCACAGCAGCCAGCAGAAGGTCTGAACGGCCTTGGCCTTATCAGAACAAAAGCAATAACACCCTCTTTATCAGCCAGCATCTGTCCCATACTGATCTAAAACTGCCTCATGATTGATGAAAAATCAAACTCTTAAAGTAACGTTTACATCTGACTTCCTGGTCACACACCTGGAGGTGGTACCTTTTATGTCAGACATTAAAACATAACAAACATTGTTTATATTACAGACAGAACAGCCTTATATTGATAAGAGGCACTGACTCTTATTCTATGTTTAAACCAAGTCGCTGCAATGATCAGAAAACATAAAATACAAGAATGGATCTTAAATTCACTTAATCACAAAATTTCCTTCAACATATTATATCAATGATTATGGGTTTGACAGTATAATGATACAAGGTAAAGTATGTCTTGTTAGTTGTTTTAAATAAGACACTGAGAGGACAAATACAGTGTACACAGTGACAAAGGAGATTCTGCAGACAATCCCATATCTCTACAGTGGAGAGCCTGGAAAGCAGCATGAGGAGGAGGTGCCAGGCTGCTGTGGCTGTGTATGGTTCTTCCACACTCTACTATGGCCCCCAAATTATTAAACTGTTAATATTTCTTGCTTTTTCAGATGTCATTCCTCTAGTCTAACACATGACACATAGATTGCTGACGCTTAGATCATCAGATCTTGAAAACATTGCCGAAACTCGTAGGAGATCAAGCTTTTTCACTCATGGTTCCCAAACTTTAATGCAATTTGTCTTTTAGTATTGGACAGGCTTTTTACCTCCGCCAAGGGCGAGGTAATGTTTTCGGTCACGTATGTCTGTCTGTCATTCTGTCCGTCTGTCATTCTGTCTGTGGACAACATTATTTTAAAACTTGTGGATGGATTGTCATGACATTTTTACCACATGTGGGTACTGGGCCAAGGAACACACCTTTAAATTTTGGTGATGTTCCGGATCACGATATAGATATAGGATTTTTTTTTCTTTCAACACTCTTAGATCAGCAAAGCTGTGATGCTTTCACAGGGCTTCTGTAAAAAACAGTGAGCTGGATTGGACAGCACGGACTTCAAACTTTATAAAAGTAATGTTAAAACCACATTTAACGATCAATAATTTTTGCCATAATATGCACATTTACAGAACGTTTTGTGACCAGGAAGTGCGTGACTGCACCATGAAAC